AAATAGAATTTTGCCATTATGAGAAACACTCCTAAATCTACATCTATCAACTCTTGCTGTTATGAAAAATAATTTTAAAACACCTAAATTTTCTTTCAGACCACCCACCACTACTATTATGAAAGATCATATAAGGTAACCCTTTTAATTTTCATTTAAATTACCCACATACATTGTTGTACTATTAAAACACGATGCTTTGAGCAGAATATCCATAATATTATGTTTGTAGTCAATCATCACAATTATATGAGTCTTCATAAAACAAACAAAAAGCTAAATAGTGCCTCTGTGTGTATGAATAATAGCTCCCGTGTGTACCTAAATTAGGGCTTCATTTGTGGGTTTTCTCCGGCAAGTAAACTCTCCTTAATCATCAATCTCAATATCTCTTCTCTACACCCAAAAAGACTCTAAAGTCATCATCTATTTTGTGAAACCAAATCTTGATCCCTCCTCACGCGTCCACATCCGATACAAATAATACTCCACTCGGAGCTCACACATCCGCGTGTTACATGGTTCCGATACGAAGACACGATCCACGTGTTTGTGTCCGATACGAAGACCTCAGAGCTCATGTACGTGTCCGATTACTTAGGTTTTCAAAAGAAAATTATGAGCCTAATGCAACACACGTGCATACGTCTAGTACATAGATATTTTCAAAACATACGTGGCACCAATCAAGCAATCATGCATTATGCTTGCATTACCACATGCATGCATGTGCGGTCCAGTTAACCGAGTCGGCTAAAACCGGACATCCATCTATCAAATGTGGGGCGCGTTTAGTTTGGCCGCATTTATACAGTGTTTGATGTGATGGTAAATATTGTAGCAATTTCATTTGTATTTGTGAATTATTGTCCAAACATTGACTAATTAGGCTCAAAAGATTCGTCTCGCAAATTTTAACCAAACTGTGCAATTAGTTTTTGATTTCATCTACATTTAGTACTCCATACATATACCGCAAATTTGATATGACGGAATCTTCTTTTTACATAGTGCCAAAAGTTGTGAGTTTGGGGAACTAATCAAGGGCGTGGTTTATACCACATAAACAACGCCGACCGCAGATCGATTTGATCGATCGGGCGGGGAAATAAAGCACTCCCACGGCAGCTTTCTCTTGTTCCGACGCATATACCCTACCCTAGCTAGCGAAAGGAGATAACCTTTCTGCCTGAAATCAAAGAAAATACAGGAGATAACCTATAGTAGTGCGAAGCTGACATGTGGTCCCTGACGGCGCCATCCGACCGATCCAAGCAGGACGAACGAGCAAACCCTACTCGCAGTCTCGCAGTAATGGCCTCACCCGTCACCCGTCCCCCATGCACATGCACATGCACATGCAGCTGCTAGGACAGTCACGGCCTCACGGGAAATTGCATGCATGGAACTACGACAGTAGATCACACGCACGCAGCAGGCATGCATCCATGCATCGATCATGCGTGCATGCATTCAGTCGCCTCCGTCGGCCAGGCGAGCTTGGCCGCTGATGGATCGGGGCATTTAACACGTCCGTGCGTTGCCGGCCTGCTGCGTGTGCATCAGCGTGGCGCCTCGCGAGGCGCAATAACATTCACGTACAAGTTCGTACGCCTGTGGGGGTAAGCACCGGCGGTGCCTCGATCCGCATGGCATCTCCGGCCGGCCGGTGAGGGACCCGTGCATGCGCGCACGTCGGCGTCTGCGTCGGCGCCGCGCACGCACGCATGTCGTCGTCGATGGCTCCACGTGTGGTCGATGTGGTGATAGCGCGTACGAGATAGTACCATCGATCGAAACGAACGAGCCATCTCCTTTACTGCGCCAGCGCCTCGAGTACGTGCAGATTCCGAACGCGCTCACGCACGTCATGCCATGCATGCACGGCCCGGGCCGCGCGCGCGCGCCGCGGGGCCTGCAGGTCACGAGATCTCGTACGCGACCCGGCCCGCGCCGGCCGGCCGGTCACGTAAGCGCCGTGCATGGCGTCGTCGTCGTCTACCGGACTGTACGTGTTTTCTGAATCGATTCATCACTGCCTGTGCTTACTCCTGTTCCAACCGGCGGACAGTCCTACGCATGTAGTAGAGCCTACACTCGAACAGCTGATTGGTAACCAGGAAATGGTCGTACGCGCGAGCGATCCAGAGCCATTTAACGTGCGCACCTGCCGGCCTTCCGGGCATTCGGGGCTTGTGTGATGCTCATGTATCCTCCCCAATCCATGTCTTGAGTAGTTTGGTGCACATGGATTTATTGAAAAAAAAAATATGTAGTGCAGACGCATCTTTAGCGGAAACATGGAAGCTCATTCGATTCAAGATACATCTTTTGATCGATCCTTCGGAAAAGTTTGAAACAGTGCACACCCACAGTGCATGCTTTCATACATGTGTGTTTGTTGCAAATGTTGAGATACAAACTCATCTTATACTTATTCAAATGAAAATGACAAATTTCATATCCATGCACACCAAAAAGACAAAATTCGACCCGATGGATTTCACTTTTGTTGGGTACCTAGCTAGTCTGCTTATGTCATTCGAAAAAAAAAAACTTATCAACTGCGTGCTAATTAATATAATCGAGCAGAGCATATATAGGACAGTGATCCTTCCATGTACGACCATCCTGAGATATGCACCTCGCCAGAGAACGCTAGGTATCTCTAGCTTGCAAAGTTGCAATGCTATACAGGACAGAGGGGGACGCACTTCATCTCCGGCCCATCATTATTATTTTCACTGGAACATATTGTAGCAGCTCTGGCTACTACACAAACATAAGATGACGGTCCAGTGATGTATCTCGAAAATTTCGAGATGGTGTGAGCAGTAGGCCACCATTATATTAGCGCGCGTTTGGTTCACTTCTCGCCGTGGCTTGGCTTGCTTATTATGGGATACAAGCCCGCAGTTCGTTTGGATGATGTCTGGATGAGCAGAGTTTGGCGACACGCCATGTATGTTTGGTTGCTAGGATCGTACGTGGCTCACGTGAGTCACCGAGGAAGATTGCATGCCATAGGTCAAGCCCAATCAGATAAACAACCAACCAAACACATGCTACTTACATCTCACGGGCTAGGCCGAGGGAAATACAAGCAACTAAACATGCTGTTAATACATCACCTTTTCCACCTGACAGTGATATATGAACAACTTCTCCTTGGAATGTTGAATTGTAAGATACTTTTCGGCGTTTTCTCTTAATTAATTAGTTTATGCTTCGTGTTTTTTATTTTCATTGGTGCAAACAAAAAATGAATTATACAGAGGATTTACAAAAAAAGAACAACTATACAGAGTGAAATTAGCTACTACGGTTTGGTTGACTATATAAGGTCGAACCATATTCATATGATGCAGTTTTCAACTGTTTGATTGTCTGGAGAAAGGGTTGAGCCTGTCCTACATGATGCAAAAGAGCTCCCTCAGCCTAGCTTCCTAGAAATTAAACGCACGGTTGATAGAGCTGCATCTATCAACGCACGGTTGTTCCATTTGTAGAGTTATCACAACGTGACTCACAAAATTCTGTGGTTATTCAAGCAGGTAGTTTTCAGTACGTGTGTTTGGGCGTGCAAGCCTTAATCCAAAAGAAGAGTCGTTTTCCACTTCCAACGCTGAAAATATTCAATAGCATGGCCCCTCCTATTTACTATACCTGCTCTTGTCTCATGCAGGATCCAACCCAAACAGAGACCAAATCATTTCAGCATGATATGGCCCGTGATCTCTCTCTCTCTCTCTCTCTCTCTCCCTCCCTCTCGTGTGATTGCTGTAATTAATTTGATAGCAAGGAATTTCTGCGCCGTATGTTTCATTAGTTTGAGTTAGTTATTAATTTATGAAACTTATATCACGCCAAATGTCTACTGGTGGCGTGTACTTAATCACTACAGTAAATAGGAGAAGTTATTATCATGATCGCTCCAATTTAATTACTATATTCTCAATTCTTCAACGATTTTTAGATGACATATTCAGAGATAAATAATTTGCTAAAAAAGTCAACAATTTAGTGGCACCAAATTTGGGATTACAGTGTAAATTCAACGATTAGCATAATGCTTTTGAAAAAAAAGTCCACTGAGAAACATCCAATCATTTCCCATATTTTAGTCAGTAATTTCCATATTCAACTATTCATGATAGTTACATTTAACTGGTAAAGTTGAATTATTGCTCCTATATACTGCGTGCAATGTAGTTAACTTGCACTGGACAAGTACTATATAGACATAGCTGGCCATCCAGAACAATCCAACAGACCACCACAAATTTCCTTCTATAATTAGCGACCCTGCGGTTCCTAACCTTCTTCTTCCCCTCTTCTCCCCTTCCCCAGCTTCATTTATCCCCCTCTTCCCCTTCTCGCACGCTCGCTCGCTTTCCCAATTACTACTCCAGCTGGTTCGTCTTCCCTGGCGGATCGAGCAGCAGGAGCTCTTCCGATCCCGTACACAATCACAAGTTCCATGCAGGTTCATCACCACTCATGAATAATTCTAGTAGGTGCTTGTACTTATTACTAGTATTCATGTGTCCTTCGTGTCTATAGTTACATGAATAGTACTCTTAGATCTCGATTCTCTTCTTGATCGAGGTGTCGGACTTTCTCCATATCGAACAAGACTTACATTTCTTGCCATCTCTTCAAACTCCAGATCATTATTTCTAGCTAAATACAAAATCAACTACAGTTACATAGATCTCTGCTCCTCCCACTGAAATATTCCTTGTACTTAATTGATGGTCTTCTGTCTTCTCCATTCTCGTTTGTTCCTCTCCCTTTGGTTCCCAAAGTTCTAATGGCATGGGGAACCACGTGTAGGGCGTAGAGCACAGCCCTCTATATATGCTTAGTACAAGCACCAAATCCGCACCTCAAACTACTCGACGTGTACGAGCTCTGCCTCCTCGCGCTTTTCTAATAATCCCCGCCGCTGGTTTGTTGCCTTCTACTACCCCGCCACGCCTGCGGCCTCGGCCCCCTACATGATGCAGTTCACGCATACCGCGCCACCGCCGCCGCCTCTGCACCCTAACGGCCATGCTGCAGGAGGGCTAGGGCTAGGGCTGTTCCTTGACGTCGGCGCGCCCAGGGCGGCACGCGGCCCGTGGCCTGGGAGCTTCCCGACGCCGGCGTCCAAGATCTCGCTCGGCAACCTCAACAGCACCAGCTGCATGGAGCAACTGCTGGTGCACTGCGCCAACGCTATCGAGGCCAACGACGCCACGCTCACGCAACAAATCCTCTGGGTGCTCAACAACATCGCGCCGCCCGACGGGGACTCCAACCAGCGCCTCACGGCCTCGTTCCTCTGCGCGCTCGTCGCGCGCGCGTCCAGGACCGGCGCCTGCAAGGCGGTCACCGCCGCAGTCGCCGCCGCGGTCGAGTCGGCCGCGCTCCACGTGCACCGCTTCACGGCCGTCGAGCTCGCCAGCTTCGTCGACCTCACGCCCTGGCACCGATTCGGCTACACGGCCGCCAACGCCGCCATCCTCGAGGCCGTCGAGGGCTTCCCCGTCGTGCACGTCGTCGAGCTCGGCACCACGCACTGCATGCAGATCCCCACGCTCATCGACATGCTCGCCAGCCGCGCCGAGGGGCCGCCGATCCTCCGGCTCACGGTCGCCGACGTCGAGCCCAGCGCGCCGCCGCCGGCCCTCGACATGTCCTACGAGGAGCTCGGCGCGAAGCTGGTCAACTTCGCGCGATCGCGCAACATGTCCATGGACTTCCGGGTGGTGCCCACCACGCCGGCCGATGCGTTCACGTCCCTGGTGGACCAGCTCAGGGTGCAGCAGCTGGTCCTTGACGGGACCGAGGCGCTCGTCGTCAACTGCCACATGCTGCTGCACACCGTGCCGGACGAGACGGCGGGGTCTGTCAGCCTGACGCAGCCGGTGTCGCTGCGGACCATGCTCCTCAAGTCCCTCCGGACGCTCGACCCCAACCTGGTCGTGGTGGTGGAGGAGGACGCGGACTTCACGGCGGCCGACGTGGTGGGGAGGCTCCGCGCGGCGTTCAACTTCCTCTGGATCCCGTACGACGCCGTCGACACGTTCCTGCCCAAGGGGAGCGAGCAGCGGCGGTGGTACGAGGCCGAGATCGGGTGGAAGGTGGAGAACGTACTGGCGCAGGAGGGCGTGGAGCGGGTGGAGCGGCAGGAGGACAGGGAGAGGTGGGGACAGAGAATGCGCAGCGCGGGATTCCATGCGGTGGCGTTCGGCGAGGAGGCCGCCGGCGAGGTGAAGGCGATGCTGAACGAGCACGCCGCGGGGTGGGGGATGAAGCGGGAGGACGACGACCTGGTGCTCACGTGGAAGGGGCACAACGTCGTGTTCGCGTCGGCGTGGGCGCCGTCGTCGTCGTGAGTTTATCGGGTGTGGTGGCATATGCAGTGCAGTTCAGAAGGTGAGTAGGCATGTATGCGATCTTCCATGACATGGGATTAGGGTTTGTGTTTGTGTTTGTGCATGATATCAAAGATTATCTTGTTATAAATTGGGTTTACTAGCTGATTCATTACTTAGTAACTACATTGATGATCAGTTTGAACTGCAATGACAATTTCTCTCTCTCTCTCTCTCTCTCTCTCTCTCATCTGCAATCTTTTGATCAGATTGATTCGAAAATGAAAGCATAGCGCTCATATCATCTATGTACTTCTTGTTTATTAGGGTTTGTGTTTGTGCATGCATCATGCATGATATGAAACATTATCTTGTTAAATTGGGTTTACTATCTAGCTGGTTCATTACTTAGTATAGATTGACTATAAGTTTGATCACTGCAATGGCAATCTCTCTCTCTCTCTCTCTCTCTCATTTGCGATCTTTCTGCTTGATTCAAAAATGAAAGCACAACGCTCATATATCATCTAGGTACTTCTTGTTTATCAGGGTTTCTTATGTGCGATGTATCTGTTAAATGCACAGTGCATTGAAAACTTCAAATAGTTTGGAATTTGTTGCGAGAAGAATGTTTGGAAATACCAGAAGGAACATGGAGTCATGGGCACATTTGTCACAGAGAGCAACCTAAATATTATTGTGACACTGTTGCAACGACGATACATATCTCCTACGACTAAAAAGAACAAAACTAAGATAATTTTTTGGTGCGACATTTGTTTGGGGTCGCCTCGCTTCTCCCCCTGCGATCCCCGCCTCCCGTCCGCGCGCAAGTCGCTCTAAAAACGGAAAGCCGCAATCACCGCCCCCCACCCACCGTGCGACCTGCTGGATCCCACGGGTCGCCGTGGCGCGTGCCGCTCCCCATCCCCGCACCCCTCACCACTGTCACCCTCGCCCCTCGCGCGCTTCCACGCTCGCGCCACCGTCGGCGGGTCGGCACGGTTGAGGTCGAGGCGCTTGCTGTAGGCAGGAGCTCCAAGAAGGCCAACAAGGCCAACGCGAGCGAGGCAGGCCACCAGCGCGAGGGCGTCGGCCACCAGGCGGGGTAAGGGCGCCTTCTAGGCCGCCTCTATTCTTCCTCAAGTCGGTCGGAGCCATGGCGGCATACACCGGCGGCTGCGGCAACCACCTAGCCCCCTGCTCTTCCTCGAGTTTGCGTCTCAGTAGATCCACCTACGGCAACGGTAGGTCAACAGTCATCACGGCCCCTTCCCTCTCCTCCCCTCCCCTTTGGCTCGTATTTAACAAGTGAGGGACAAGTGAGGGTCGAATCCATGTAGGGTCAGCCAGATCCACGGTCGCCCATGGAGAAGGGTGTCGAATCTCTGTGTCCAGTGGGATCCTTTCTTCTTCCTCAGCAGGATCCGACATACTGTCGACCCGGCGTGGTGGAGCACTGGTGCTTGTGATCATGTGATTTGTTAGGTTTTGTTTAGTTCTCATCTATAGTTCCTTGCTCATGTAATGACTCACTTGTACCGATCTTTTACTCAATAATCGTCTTTCAACTTCTGTGGATTTTTGATAGGGTGGCTTCAGGTTGGATCTTTCGGTGTGATACAAAATGGCAGGCTAGATGGCTGAGCTCTCCCGCTGCGAGGTAATCACTGCAGTTTTTTCCCACTGCCGTCTTAACGTTGAAACCTCAAACAATCAGTGCGCTGCTTGTGTGCTGTACTTGCCGTTGATGAGTTCGCCGATGTTGCCCAATGTCAACACATTCTTATTTCTACAATTAGTGCTTGTAATCCAATTTTGGCACCGCCATTGAAGTGAAGTAGATTGGGATGAGTTTAGGATTCATCAGCAACCACTACAGTATGTTTTTTGGGGCTGCTTTCCTCGTCTACTGGGTTTTCAGGCATGTCGTCTTAAGGTTTTCTCCTTTTAATAAGTGATCCTTTCATATAAATTGTGTTTTGATTTATGTGCTATGCTCACATTATTTACTGCTCTGTAGTTGTTGCCTACTGATTGTCTGATACAAGATTAATCTTTTAGGTGCTTAGAAGTTACTACCAGTGGCATGACGGATTGGGCATATATTCGAACTGATGCTTAGCTTTGGGGATGTTGTTGCTGTGTGCCCTGCTTACAGGAAAAGGTATCGCAAATCTTAGTTGGATATGATGTCGTGCTAGGATTTTACATTCAGCTTTGCACTGTCAATTCTATGGCTTTACTCCAAGATTAGCTATTTGTTCATTTGTTATCTTATCGCCTTTGCTATGATATGTGGTTTTGTGCGGTCATGAGTTGCTTGTGATCTCTTCTCGACCGTGGCGGCGTCCTTCCCCCTCCCCTCCCGACGGCGGCCGCGGCGCCCTTCCCCATCCCGACGGCCTTGTGTGCGTGGGTGTCGGCGACGGGCAGCCGCCCTCGGGCTCTGGATCCGTGACTCCGATCCCAATCCATCCTGCGAGCTCTGGATCCGTGACTCCAATCCCCATCCATCCCACATCCCACACCCTCCGTGTCCATCACCGTGCAGTGGCGGTGGCCTTCTCCCATCTGGACCTCCTCGCACACGATGCGGATCTCCTCCTTCACACGATGCAAGTAACCCAGACAGGCGACAGCCGTGGCAGGTTTCTAGATCGGTTGAAAAGCTCGGCTGCGTGGTCTTCCTCTTACTGTCTTGCTACAGTTGGTTAGATCCTTCCGATTAACTACCCGTAGTGCAAGGTGCCCAATTCAACCCCAGCTATATCTGGATCCTAACGATTTTTTTTACATTTGCTTTGAGAAAGACCTGGCAATTGCGAATTACATTAGCACCTACCTCATCCTGATGGCAATTAGAATGCAAGCATCAAATAAGTAGGGTCGATTGATTTCTCCCTCACTTCTCTGATTATATTTTGGATTGATTTAAATGTGCTAGAGGCTCTGCCGCAGGCCACAGCTGGTGAAGTCATTCTGAAGTGATCCCGTCTCCGACGACGCACGGTTTAGTTACATACCAGCTTCCTGTTAGACTGAGGACTGTCTATGTTCTTGTCTTCTTATGATTGTTGGTGCTTGATTTTATCTGATTTGTTTGGGATGCGCGTGTGAGCAAGAGGACATCCTCGCTATACAACCAGATCAACCCCACTGAAGAGTCTGCGAAGGCTTGCTCAGATTCCAGTCGTGTGCAATCCCTCCTTGCAGGATGACTCTGTCCTCCCTGTTTCCTAATTTTTAGGTATGATTATGTATGAATGTGCAATGCATGTAATTTCTTTGTATAGTTAAGACCTAGGAGTGAGGGATTTTGGAAGTGTGTAGCAAATTATTCACAAACTTTCTCCAAGGGATTAATTATTTATGTTCGAGACCATTGTGCTTTGGTGGGAAGTAGTCATGGATATTTAAACTGGAAGCTTGGAAATTGACCTTATTGTGTGCAAATAAACTGCAGAGCTTGACTTGCATCATTTTTTTAAAAAAGTGCTAAAAATGAGGTTCAGCTGCCATTTTTTCTCTTATCATCAAAACAATGCTATGATTGTTCATCGTTCAGGTAAGGAAATTCTTATGAAATAAATGGCTGAGGGGGCAACAACAATTTACCACATATGTGTCACGGTTAGTTTCATGATTTAATTTTTAAAAGAAGTGCAGGTTCATCATCAAAGGCACAGTTGCTTTAAGTTTTCCAGTTATTTAGTTCATAGATGGTTATAGAATGTCCTTATTTTGTCTTCTTACTACAGGGTGTTGCTTAGTGTGTAGGCTATATATATTTGTATCACATCTGTGTGAAATCTCTGAATAATGAAAATAGTCTCATTTGCTGTTGAAATAAAATTAGTGGAACTTTTCAGTCTCCTATTTCATATTAAATTGGTGCATGACAACGTAGATTTCCTGGTTTGAATATTGTACAACTCGTGGAAGAGGTAATACTGCTAGGACGGCTATGGATCACGGCTTTGGTGGTGCCGGAAATGGATGTGGACGAGCTGCACCTCCTACTCCGACACTGGAGGGAATCAGCCGAGGTATGGAGATGGGTTTGGTGGTCAATCATTGTTGCGTGAGTAGTTCTCTGTGAATTCTGGATTGTAACAAACTTTGGTCTGCTTCTGTTTATTTGCAGATGAGGGGGGGCAGCCATCCTGGCTGCCAAGCATACGAAAGCAATGGCCCGAGAAGCCACTGCTATATGGAATCGGCACCCTGTTGGTCACAGTCGGCACTGCCCGACACCCCCGGCCGGCCAGCAATGTATAAGTCTTGGGTAGATGTTTTCCTGTATATGATATAGCTTTCTGTTCTGCTCAGTTAACTCTTGTGGTCTATGAAAATGATAACTTCAGGTAGTTTTGGATGTGGGTTGCAGCACTGGTGTTCTTTCGATATTTTGTGCTTTTGCTGGTGCCACTCGTGTAAGTTTTTAGTTATTAGTTGCACACTTTGCATTTCTGATGATCTTATCAATGTAGGAAAACCAATTATTTTTTAATCCCGCACTCTATAGATGCTACTATATTCCTCGTATATGTGGAGGCGCAGATCATTCACCATTACATGATACCAGTGCAATCGACAGGGAGTGCATTCAGTCCGAGAACCTCAGCTCATCACTGTTATTTGTCCGGCAACAGCTACAGACAAGTGAAGCCTTGTTCATCCTATGTTTCACTGAAACATAATATACAGAGGTATACGCAGTATGCACAGGAAATTATAATATTGGAATTCTTTTTCTGTCGGGTTGTACTGTTTTTCTTCAATATAGTTTTTTGTTTTCTCTCTGGTGGCCTTCAGCTTTAGTAGTCTGAGAGTTTGGATTCTTCGGGATTTCTTCAGGTGCAGCATAGCTGAATCTTTTCAGTTCAGTAAAGAAACAGAAATCGTTCAGATTCTTCCAGTTTGGTGAGGCTTAGGAAAAAAAATCTAAAATTCAGTTCAGTCTTCAGCTTTGTTTTCTCTAAAATTTTCTCTCCACACAGCTTTGCTCTGTATTTCAGTCTGCACTGCATCTTTATCATCAAGTAAGTAGGTAAGTTCCACGTTTCAGACTTTAGATTCTGAACTTTCACTTTCTGCTACAGTGACTTCCTTTAGATAATCATTTCTTGCTTGTCTTTAGTTATCTTATTTCCAAGCCGTAACTCACAGTCACTATTTCCCCTTTCTTACGAGGGTAATTCTTTAGCAAAGGTAAGATGTCTCCCCCTTCTTCTGAACTTTGCATTGGTTCATCAAGTTTCTTGGATGTTTGACAACCTGATCAATGCTTGGTCGGTTGATAAGTAACACGGCACATCCAAGCATTGCTTGTATGAGTTAACCATCTGAGTTAATTTCATATCAACAGGGGAATTTGGAAAAAAAAACAAAAAACTTGTTTGGCTGATAAGTTGATTATATATTAAGTACTAGCTTGATGTTTCTACCTCAGGACAGGGAATTCACATGAAAAAAAACAAACCCTATTATCTGTTGTGTTTTTTGTCTACATTGGTTGTGGGCACTGCATTAGTGTCTTTCCTTTCCAAAAGAGAGGAGAATAGAGATAATGGTCCAGTATAGTTTCTTTGTGATTTAAGGTTGTACAAAAGCCCAGACTTCATGACTAGGAAATTGTAGTTCACCATGTCTATTGATGACACATGAATTGGACGAATAAATATTTTTGTTTTATACCATGGTAGTGGTGCTAAATTTTATACCATGGTAGTGGTGCTAAATTCCTGTGTATTCTGTGCTTCGTATATTCTCTTTGCTTCGTATATTCTGTGGTAGATCACATTAGTTGAAAACAGAATACTTTTGAAGGCATAAATACTCTATTGGTTGCGGTAAAGTGACATTTAGAGGGTGAGTATAACATACATTATTTTAAGGTTTTGTGAGAGATTTTTTAAGACAACCAGCATTACCCATGTGTTTAAATATTCTATTGGTTGCGGTAAAGTGACATTTATATATATATCTTCTCTAATTTAGAATGAATCACAATCTTGATCGATGAATTTGGAGGGAAACACTATGTGTTTAATGCAATTTATAAGCAAATTTATTTGGCCATGCTACTATGCTACTTTGTTTAGTATTGTGATAAAATTATAGAAATAATCTTTTTTTACATTTTGTTGTTTGTAAATTATAATGTGGATGAAGAATGATGCTAGCACTAGCATATTTGCATCGTGGGTGAAAGCTAGCACTTGCAAAAAAAAATTACATGGAATCACGGCAAAATAGGAAGTAGAAAATTATTGTGCTATCCATATACACATTGTATGTTTGCATGCACCAGTATACATGGCAACGAGCCTCTCCCGGCTCCCATGCGCCTTACTCCAAGGAAAGAGAATTAACACAGAAGAAAAGAGAATTAAGACAAAAGTAAAGAGAGAGACTGCTATCAATCCTCTGCTATAAATCCTGTGGCCTCGCCATAGCGCCCACCCTCGCTAGCTGAGCTCACCCTCGTGCCCTCCCTTGCGCATCGGCTGTGCTTCGCCATAGCGCGTCGCCATCATCGTCGCCTGCTGCCATCGCCTTCGCCGTCTTGTTGTGCCCTCGAGGAGGACTATGGACTGTCACGAGGAGCTTCCAACATCTTCTATCTTCCACAAACGTCCACCCTGTTAGTGAATCACATCCTGCTATGATGCGTTTCTTTATTTGTTATTGCCTCCAGTGCTTGTGTGATCTGAAATCATGCATCTTTAAGAGTCTTGGATGGATACGTGCAGAGGCTATGTGATGCCTGTTGGGATCTCTAGCTAATGCAAGGCTTAGCTCCTTTTATCTGTTTATAAAATTTATTCCATGTACTTCTTGGAGCATGCAAATCCTAAAAATTTTATGGCCCTGCTTGGATTGGATTTCTGGAGGCTACACAACTCTAATAATAAATCATAAAACAAAAATTATTTCTAAGGCATCATGATAGCAACCAAAACATGATCTCATTTTGGTGGTTTGATTTGCATCACGATCTATCACCGTATATTGCAGTTCAAATTTTGTTGGCACGTGGCAACGCACGGGCATCAAATTTGCGGTCATGTATGCTAACAAATTAACAATGTAGGTGCGGTAGTTATTTTAGAGGCCTCACATGACGTAATCAAGATAATAGGAGAGAGGCACAGAGCACGCGGATAACTTTAAATCTTTAATTGCTTACCGATCTCCATAGAATAATAGTATATTATGTTCAGACTGATTAATGTCATCCTGTATATTTTTCATGATTTTGGCTTCTCCGTTGCGGAGATGGGTTCTGGCTGTCGGTCGCTCAAAAGAAAGAGGTTGTACGCTGACCCACCGCCTGCAATCACCAATACACACATCTACAGATAACTACGTTACATTTATCTTGTAATTAATCGAGGCAATCATTTTCTGTCAACATAGGTTTACTCGTGTGTTTTATCATTTTGATTGACAAGGACGGGATTGTAGATGGGTTGAATTCCATGAAGTGGGAATGGAACACATATCTTCCATATGGGATGTGAGTGCCATGGTTTTTTGGAAAGGCAATGTACGACATCACCATGGCGATACATATTTGCATGTAATTTTGAAGGATGAGCAGGTGCATTTTGAGCTCATCTTTTTGGACCATGTCTAATTTTTTTTCTACAGACCATGGTTATCTATCTGTTGGATCTAATATTCTTACATGAAACCAAAATGGAAGCGGTTGCGTACGACGACCAAACCATGAGGTTCGACCGTTTGCTTCGTGTAGGAGAATGTTATGACTTCATGAGAGTTGGCTTCGCGCCTACTCATGTTGGTCGTTTGGGCTACATCTTCCATTTATGTGCCAACTACTTTGTGGTTCTATCTCCACAAAGTATGGCTAATGTACCATCGAGAGAGCTATGGATTTGTCAGTGTCCTCGTACCTTTATGGAATTCGAAGATGTATATGTTCAAGCTGAGTATTTTTTGCAGGTATATTTCATACGCCTATATTTAAAAATACGTAGTTAACTGTTCATTCTCCTATTCCATCAATAACTATCGTTTGTGTTTGTAGATGCCATTAGTATAGTTGTGCATGTGTCTAATATTCGAGGAATGGATGACGTGCGGATGCGTCCGTACAGATATGTGGTGCTGATGAATGAAAGGTACTTATATTGAAAATTTTATCATTGCTCGATGCTATCAATTTTTTATTGTTCGATGCTAATCAATTTTGTAACTCGTAAGTACCACTGCAACATAATAACCGTCAAGTATACACACATATGCCGCCACTTATCTAAATGGCGGCAAGCGGCATCAGAGTTGCGCATTTTAGCTGGTCTCCATGTACAAATGAATAGAAAGAGAGGTATTGTATCATTGATGTCCTCATATGTATTGACTAAATAAAGTATTAGTTATTACATTTTTTTGTTCGTGCATGATAGGCGGAGTGACCACTACTGACGATTTCAGCGAATTGGTATTCAGTTCTATTTGTAATCAGCGCATGATTTTCAAAGTGAGGTTCTTTTGGGGTAATTCATTGATTTAATTTATTGACTACAACACTGACCCAAAAGTTTTTTTATTTGTTTATAGGCCTACGTAATCGTCTGCTTCTTGAGACATCGCCGAGTTCAAGAATTTGCTAAGGACACTGTCGGTGTTTCGGACCGGGGGGTCCTCAACCAACCAGTGAATTTGTTCTACGTGCTCCCGATTCGGATGGTGATGCAAAGAGACACAAGGTTTATACTGGTTCAGGCAATCGAGGCCCTACGTCCAGTTTGAGAGATCGATCTTGTATTCCTTGCACCGAGGTGCTCGCAGTAGGGGGTTACAAGCTAAAGGAGAGAAGGAGCTGGTCCTAGGTCTCGGCAGGGTGTCGTGCGGGCCGCTTGAGACGTTGCACTCAGGCGGCAGGAGTGTGCGCGTGTGTGCGTGTGTGTTACAAGGTGTCCCCCCCTTAAAACAACCTAGGTCCTCTCCTTTTATAGCATGAAGGGAGGACTAGGGCAGTACATGAGCTAACTATACGGCGTCGTGTGAACAGAGGCGGCGTGTCCGGGCCCTATAGCCTGTTCCTGTGGCGGTGCGGCCGTCGGAGTGGTCCGTCCTTGGAGCACTGGGGCGACGTGGCCGTCCTATCAGATCTTGTGCGTCGTGGGAGCCCCGGGACTGCCTCGGAGTGGGCACGGCGGTGGACGTGCAAGCCACTGTGGACGGACTGCGCGCGAGGCCGAGACTTGGTCGGTGTCGAGGCTGCACCATGGTGGAGGGGTCTCGGCAGGCACGATCCCCAAGATGGCCGAGACCTTGGTGTACGGTGCCGAGGTCTTGAGTGGGGGTGATCGTGGGTGGGTGCAGTGTTAGGACACACGATGGCGGTAATTCCCGCCGTACCTGTCCCGGCCGGTATGTATGCGCAGATCGTGGATCTGGCGTTAGGACACGGTGGCGGTAATCCCCGCCGCATACTCGCCCCAAATGCGGTATGGCGCAGATCGTGGATACAGCGTTAGGACACAGTGGCCGGTAATCCCCGCCGTACCCTGTCCCAGCCGGTATGGCACTGATGCGACCTTGGGTCGCGTCGGCCATTCTGTGGCGTTGAGCCGTCGTCCGGCTGAGGTTGCGGGAGTGGTTGAAGCATTAATGGGACATGCCACGTTGTCTGGAGGGTCGGTCGAGGCGGGGGGTGACGGGCTGCGGGCAACCCGGCCTCGAGCGACACAGAGGCTGGGGCCTCGCGTGATATGGAGAATGTACCCCTGCCGAGTCCTTCCCTAGAGAGCCTCGGGCGAGACGGAGATGGCGCCCCCTGCTGAGGCTCGGCGCCCCCTGCCGAGGCCTACCCTGGGGAGCCTCGCGCGAGGCGGAGTTTGTTCCGAGACCTTCTGCTCGAGGCTTGAGGCGAGGTGGAGGAGGGCTCGGTCGTGGCAGGTGAGGGGCCCACGGCTTACGCTCTAGCTCTATTTTGATGTTTGCTTGGGGTACCCCGTTCTAAGGTACCCGACAGTAGCCCCCGAGCCTCGGGGTGAGTGCGTGCACTCTCCCTGAGGGTTCGTCGAGGCTGGGTTTATGCCTGCTCCGTAGGAATTGGTTTGTTTTCTGAGGTTCCGGTGGGTGCGCGCAAGCGCACCCGCCGGGTGTAGCCCCCGAGCCCCTGGAGGAGTGAAGTTACTCCTCCAGGGGCTTTCTCCATTTTCGCGTTTGAGTGATCAGTTCTTATTGCATTTGCCGAGCCCATAAGCGCAAGTTCGGGTTGCGGGGGTCTCAGCGAGGTTGTAGAAAAAAGGCCCTCTAGCCTCCGCACGGAGTGAGAGGTTCGTCAGGGGTTCCCCTGACTTTGGGTATGTCCCTCACGCTTCCTTTCGCTCGGAAGGAGGGGTGGAATGTGCCATGCTACCCTCGATGGGCGCGAGCGTGGACACTTTCGGTGAGCTGTTATCGGGTAGTCCGAGTGGAGGCCCGAGCCCCGTTCGCTAGGGGACGTCTAGCGGTCCAGAGACGCACTCCAAAAGTACCGGAGGATTTCTCTAGTGGGTGCCGAGGCTATTCGCTGAGCCTCGGTGGCTCGGTGCCTCCCTACGGTGGGATCCCATTCGGATACTTTCCTGCCGGTCTCGGACATGACTTAGGACACCCCGAGCGACTGTTCGTTCGGGCCTGGGCCATTCGTAGGCTCGCCCCAAAGTCGTCCCTGACTCTGTTGCCCTGGGGCGGCTGTCGAAACCTCTTAGAGGACCAGCCTTCGAACCCCTGGACCGTAACGGGCTCGATGCCCTTTATCGTGTTTTTGTCTTGGTTTTTGGGTGCAAGAGGAGCCCCCGAGCCTCCGCCTGGAGCAAGAGGACGGTCGGGGGTCTCCTGACTTTTTCATTCGCCCCTCACATATCCTTTTCGTTCGGACAGAGGGTTCGTTTGCTGAGCCCATTCTGGTCTCGGCAAGGTCGCAGGAAGAGCCCCTAGCCTCTACGTAGAGCGAGAGGGCCATCGGGAGTTCCCTTGACTTTTTATACACCCCTCGCGCGTGAGGGTTTGTTTGTCGAGCCCATTTTGGTCTCGGCAAGGTCGCAGGAAGAGCCCCTAGCCTCTGCGCAGAGCGAGAGGGCCGTCGGGAGTTCCCCTGACTTTTTATACGCCCCTCGCGCGTGAGGGTTTGTTTGCTGAGGCCCCTTTGGGCGCAAGCCCGGGTCGTGGGGTCTCGGCATATTTGCAGGAGGAGCCCCCTAGCCTCTGCATAGGGCGAGAAGGCCGTCAGGGGTTCCCCTGACTTTTTATGTGACCCTCGCGCTTCCTTTTCGCTCGGAAGGAGGGGTGGAATGTGCCTCGCTACCCTCGATGGGCACGAGCGGTGGCACTTCCGGTGAGCTATTATCGGGTAGTCCGAGTGGAGGCCCAAACCCCGTTCATTAGGGGACGGCTAGCGGTCCAGAGACACACTCCAAGAGTACCAGAGGATTTCTCTAGTGGGTGCCAAGGCCGTTCGTTGGGCCTCGGTGGCTCGGTGCCTCCCTACGGTGGGATCCCATTCGGATACTTTCCTGCCGGTCTCGGACATGACTTTGGGCGTCCCAAGCGTTTCGCTCGCTTGGGTCTCGGCCCCGAATAGGCTTGCCCGCAGTCGCCCCTGACTTTGTTATCCTGGGGCAGCTGTCGAAACCCTTTTGGGGTCCAGCCTTCGAACCCCTGGATCGTAATAGGCTCAGAGCCCGGTTCCTTCCTATGAAAGGAATAGGCCACGGGAAATGTCTTCCCTATTGGCTTGGCCGCGAGTGGCGCGCCTTTTGAGGCAGTTTTATTGGGAGTCGAAACGGTACCTGCTGCCGTAGTGGCCGAGCGTGGCGTGGTGGATGGGACGTAACCGTCCTCGCATTTAATGCGGGAGACATGGGCGCGTGGGCCGGTGAAATCGGCTCGTGGTTAACCGCGCCAGATTGGGGGGAAATCTCCCGATTTCGTCGCCCGCTCGTTTTGCCTCCTCCCTGCATAAATAACCGGGGAGTTTCGCCCCTCCTCGTCTTACCTTGCCTGCATCAGTGCCGCCCCCGCCGAGCCATCGCTAGAGCAACGAGTGCCGAGAAGGAGAGGAGGAAGAGCGAGCCTAGGGAGGAAGCGAGAAAAAAGTGAAAGCGTGGGAGGGAGAGAAAAGACTCACCGCCGCACCTGACTCCCCCAGCGCACCCATGGCCGGTGATATCGTTGTCGTCGAGGCGGACCCCTGGGATCCGTCGAACGTCACCGAGGAGATGCTCCAGTCGCTTGTCGACTGTGGGCTCCTCCGCCCGGTGACTGACTCCGCCAGGCCGGAATGGATTGCTCCGTACGGCGAGCTGGAGCCGAGGCCTCGCGACGGCTACGTCGTAAGCTTCGTCTCATTCCACGAGCGTGGCCTCGGTGTCCCGGCGGACCGGTTCATGTGGGCGCTTATGCACTACTATGGCGTGGAGCTCCACAATTTTAATCCCAACTCCGTTGCTCAGGCGGCTATCTTTGTTGTTGTCTGCGAGGGGTATTTAGGGATCGCGCCCCATTGGGAGTTGTGGCTCCATCTGTTCCGGGCGGGGCATACTACAAAGCCGTCGGGCACATCGGGCAAGAGGAAGGCGGCGAGGGCCGGAGGTTGCACTCTCCAAGTGCGTCAGGACCACCTGCACCTCTACATCCCGGCCCAACTCGCGACCTCCAACCGCCGGTGGTACACGAGTTGGTTTTATCTTCGTAACAACGACGGAGGGCTTCCCCCCTACACCGGGCGGATTGTGGGGAGTTGCCCGGAGAAGTGGAAGTGGGGCATCCCGAAGGTCGACCAGCCCAAGCTGGAAACGCTCCTGGAGGGGCTGGCGAGGCTGCGGGGCCACGGCCTCACCGCGGCTGTGGTTGTGGCCGCGTTCCACCGCCGGAGGGTGCTGCTGCTGATGGCTTGGCAGCGGCGGCTGTTCGAGATGAAGCCGGGTGAGCCCATTGAGGGCACCCGGATGTCCTCTTCTGCCCTTTCCGAGGAGGAGATTCTTCGTTGGGTGGGGGAGATGGTAGAGGCGAAGCTGAGGGGCGACAACTTGACCCCTATCGCGATGC